CTTCTTTATTTACTGTTCTATGTTTTAAGAAAAACTGGTTTCAGAACTTATTTCTAAATAGCAATAATCTATATACATATATAATGTATGATAATTGGAATGTCACTGTATTTTACAAAATATTAGTCGACTAAAACACAGCCAAGACAGGTCACTTTGTAAAGACTAAATATATTACTGGATATAGTAACGCGAGTGCACATGCACTGTATCATTTTAACTTCTGTATTGTTAGCCAGAATATATAAATGTATAATGTTACGAGAGTTAAGCTATTTAGTCTAAACATTTATGCTTTCGTGTTATAATCTGTAGTCATTCAAGGATGAAAAAAACATAATTTATATATATTTCCTAATTTTTTAACGTGACTACGAGATCGATGAAATCTATCAAACGCGTACAGAGATTTGTTACTGAAAATAACAGATAAAATATAACGTTTTTTTCTTAAAAATTTTTTTATAACTATCTGAACATTATAAAGATTTTGCACGTGAAATTTGAAAATTTTCTGATGCAGAAAAGTATCTTTAATCTTAAAATTAAAATTACTTTGCAATTTGGACAGGCAACATGCAAAAAGAAAAAAAAAGGCATGAGAAAAACATTGCTATACAAATATTGATATTTTGCGTATGAAAGCATTGTAATGTTTACTGATAATCTGCCAAATTTTGTTAACATACTAATTTAAAAGGTATAGCATGAAAACTATAAAAAACACAAAATGGTCATGAGGTTGGTCCCTGGGACCAAGCCTGTGCTGAAAGAGTTAATGTACTAGTATCATTGCAAAAAAAAAAAATTTTTTGCTTTTCATGTATTTTTTATTTATTACTAAACTGTAAAAATCATAAACTTATTAGGTTAGATAAGGTAAGATAATGAAAAATAGTAATGATTTTTCCAAGAGGTAACCTCACAAGTAGCTTGTGCATTACATCATTCAATACGATAACTTGAGCTACACGTGTTTCAAGTGATTTACAACTTATGTGGCAGAACCATTAGCTAGATTCAGTTTAAAGAGCAATAAAACAACACAATTAAGTAAAAACAGATGTAAATTGTTATGAGCTTTAAGCTATTTAGGATAAACAACTGTACTTTCCTTTTACAATTTGTAGTCATTTTAGAAAAATCAAAAAGGGTAATTTAGATTTATTTTGTACTTTTTATAGCATTTACAAAGTCAGTCAAATCAATTGCATCCATAAAGAGTTAGGGTAGAGAAAATAACAGATAAGATATAAAGTTTCACTGAAAAAAAATGTATAATATTTATTTGGAAGGTTTTAGAGATTACACGAAGGAAATTTTAAAATGTTTAGATGAAGAAACATATTTTAATCTTAACATGAAAATCACTTTAGAGCAGTCAACACTCTGACTCTATATATTTATGGATAAAGTTTTAGTTAACATACTTAATTTAAAAAAACCTGATTTTTTTGTATGAAAGACGTAATGTTTACTGAAAGCTTGCCAAATTTCGTGAAGATACACAAAACATATTGAAAGTTGTACTATGGATACTCTCATGATTACTTGGTGGTTACAAGGTTGGTGTAATCCACTGACTCCACAAAGAACGAGTTAATAGGTTCACTCCCATGATCAACAAAAATAAGTATAATCAAAGGTCATGGGAAAAGATAAAACAACTGACACAACAATACACAAATACTAACATTTCTTGTGAAATGTTCATCAATCACAAGTTAATGAGTTGTTCATATAAAAAAAAAATGTGTTTGAAAAGAGCAAAATTTAAAAACCTGCATTGAAGAATGCCCATTACTGAAAGCAAGCCAGAGAATGACAATGAATGAAGCACAGTGGAAAAGATATAAAGGAATATATCAACACAAATGCACTCCATTAACGATCACTCAACACTTAAAATGTAGTAAATTTTTGTTAAGAACAATAAGAAATGCACTTAAATGAAGATTATCAGAACTGATGGAGGGTACCATAATATGCCAAACAAAATAAATTGATAAAAATGTGTTCCCTATCTTCCACAAGTATAACCAGCATAACCTAACACAATAGGTAAAGTAAATGTTATTTTTCCAAAAACAATCAGAAATGCCCCTGGTGAAAGAATGAGACATTGGGAAAGCACAAGACCTGCCACTGGAGAAGAAACTTGAAACACTCACTGATAAAAACCTCCCTCCATGAAGGATCTGATCATCCACAAAGTTGGGTGCAAGAGAAATTAACATGATTTTTTTCTGAAAGCAAAACATCACCTATTTTTATCATATTCCAACAATCTGTTCTTCTGTTCAACAGCAGCATCGTATCCACTTTTCTGCACAGCTTTATCTTGTCCATCATAACTTTCTCCCATCAACTTCTGAAGTAGTTTCTCACTCTTTCTAGACCCACGCTGTATTATTTCTTGTTCCTCTTTTGAACAAACCTGAAAAAAATAACACAGATACGGTAAGAACAAGAAAGTATTACGTACATCAGGGAAAGGAGCTTTAAGACAAAGAAAGTATCCAATAAAACAATGGCATAGGAATATCTTAAATGATTAATGAAGCCAAAGTAAGAATAAGAACAGAAACAGAAAAGATCAATGAGAACAGACACATTAATTAAGAATTAAGGCAACACAAAAACAACAGTAGAAGTAAGACATATTAAATAAAACTATGAAAGGATAGAAACATTACATAAAAATACCAAGAACACAAATACATTATGTAAGGACAACAGAAACTTGCATAAAGTCCACCATTTGAAATACTCTAAAATAATTTAAAAAACTGATTAAAATTAACAACCCACTTATGCAAATTAAAATGATTTTAAGCCACATTTTCATCTTACGAACTTTTCCAAAGTGAAAGATAGTATCCCTAAGTAATTGATGTCTCAAGTGGTAAACTTCAATCATCAACAACTGATCCAGGACTTCTCAGTTACTAAATTTCTTCTCTACTCTCTATGCATAAATTGGAAATCAAATCTCCTAATTAAGTATAAAAATTTCATCAATTGTTCATCATATTACAAAACTAACAATGGTTTACATATATTAGTACTTTACTCCTTAAAAATGTGAACTGAACTAAAACAAAAAACTGCACTGCATTTTTTCAAAATACTCAGTTTTATAAAAATTTTCATCTGTTTGGTCATTCGCCTCATTTTCAATCTTTAATTGGTCTCATTGAATGTTTTTACAATAAACTACTTTAAAACTAGCCATACCAGACTTCCACACGTGAAACACGGGCCGGAACCTTCTTGTTCACAGACAATACGTCCACATTTTAAGCAGTTGTTGACCAGTTTATGTTTTGAGGCTTCACACTGACATGGGTGTCTTCCTGGTAAAATAATTATGTCCTTAAGCTGACCCTCCTTACTGTAAAGTGACACAAACTTCTTTTTCTTTTTCAAACTTTGTGGCTCAGGTGATGTTTCCAAGTGAATAGCTTTGCTTGGAGTGTCATTTTCTAAACTCTAAAGTAAGGTCAATAAAACAGTGTAAGTTAAAACAGTCAAAAAGGAAATTATTTTTGTTATATACTCACATAAAAAAATATTTAAAATTGAGTTACAGTGTTACACAACTAACTTTTAAAAAGTTAGTGCTTATCATACCATTACCATAAAAGTAAAACATAACAGCAACTAAAATGGAGAAGTTAAACAATGCTGTTAAGATAACAATCTAAATATACTTTCTTGTTTTGTTCTTATTATTCCCTAATGGTTTTCAAAGATAAAGCCATAATTATCAAAATTTTATTTTAGAAAATGAATTGACATTATATTAATTTTTTATGTCATTTGACTTTAAATTTAGGCTACTTGAAGAATATTAAAAATACTAGTTTTTTATTTTGGCTACGTATGTATTTTCCTAAAAAATAAAATGAGTTATAACCATTAATTTTCCTTGATTGGTTACAAAGTATTTAAATAACAACTTAAGTCTCCAATATTGTTGCAAACATGCTCACGAATGTGAAAAACAATTCTAAATTTTCATGGAATAACATGCCTGTAAAAGTGATTGACAAGAGGATAAATCTTTGTTTTGAAACATTCAACAATGCACAAAGACACATTAGGTATTGTAGATGATGCATTACTGTTTGTTAGTTAACTTAGTTATGTTAGAAATTCGAAATGATGTTTTTAAGTGTTTTACACTCACAAAAAAGAAACCTATCATTCCATGGGTATTTGAAGAACTTGTAGCATTCTTCCACAATTTAATTCTTTGTATTTCAATTTTCGATACCTCACTACTATAAAGGCTTGGTTTGGTTTGAAGTTTCATTCGGTGGTCGTGTCGAGGGTCACTGATGAGGAGTGGAATTCTCTAAAACTAGTCTGGCACACAGACACACCCCAATGAAAGAATTGACCATTCCAAGCTTTGTTGTTAAACAAATGTTTAACAATTCTGTTCAACTATGTTGGAAATTATCTATTTTGATACAATATGTAAAAAACATAGACCTTAAAGATGAAAATGCAGGTTTCTAGAAAGCATCTGCTTAAAATAAGTTTTTTTCAAAGGCTAGCACAATCTCTCATGAAAAAATAATAATAATGCTCTTTTCATACACTAACCTGATTGTTTGAATTTTTTTCTAATAGTCCTTTTTTCTTTGAAGATTTACACTTTTTTTCACCCTTTACATAGTCTTCTCCTGTATCTGGTTTCATGTATACTTTTACTTGAGATGGAGAGTCTTTGTTTCCTAGAAAAATAAAATAAATTTAACAAAATAAAATGGATATCAATATGTACTTTCTTCTAGAAGATTGAAAACTGCAGTTATAGTAACTGATGAACTAAAGTGTAGTTTCTGTCTACCAATACCTCATTTTGTGAATCATTCTAATGATATTTTCATCCTCCAATGACATGTCAAGAAACCTTTTTCTTCTATACATAGTGTACTAAGTGTTCACAGGTATCACACACATAGGAGACTACATGTTGCATAGCCCACGATCATAAGTTTAACATTCTGAAACACTTAAGCACTGAAAGAATGAAGGGGAATTTGTTCATTCAAAGTTCAATATGCAATTTATAGATTGAATACAATACAAAGATTCATAAGCAAGATGGGAAGCTAATGTATAGTCAAAGCACCTCACTGTTAGAAAAAAAAAAGACAAAAAAGGTTTTTAATTTAAAAGGCTTAAATTTGAAGAAATATTAATGTAGCAATCCATATGATTGTTCATACATTGTTTTCCAAAAAACACAGAAAATGTTACTGATAGGCACAAGGCAGAATGACTGATTTGATGGGAGAAGAAAACATGAAAAATCAGCTGGGAAACTATTTCATGATAATGCCCAGACTTGTAATTTGTACACATTATGTTAATATCTAAAAACATTAACATAACACTTCCACCACAAAAGTGATTTGGTGAAAGTCTTGCAAACTATGTGTTTATCTGCTTAAACTACTTACTGCCTTGCTTCCACTGCAAAAGTAATTCTTTGATGAAACATTTGTGGCTAGAAATGGTTGGATCCAAAATGTCTGACAGATATTCTTCCAAGTCATTCTGATTTTCAATATTTAAAATATACCTATGTACAGAAAAAAAAAGATAAAAAAGTACACATTCATTGAATGAATTTATAAGTCATATACACACAAGTAATTACAAAATGTTAAGTCTTCTAGTTTTCTCTGATTTAAGTTAGATATTATACTTGTTGGTATTATTTACATTTACAAAAAATATTTTAGAATACAGATACCAATAAAATGTTATATCTACAACTCTGTGATTATTTGAGAAAAGACAAATGTGTTGATTTAGTTTTTGTAAATTGGGTCATAAAACAAATCAATACAAAAAACAAACAAAAATAATAATAAAATTGCTGAAAAAAAATATTATCAACAATTAAAGTCTAAAATAAACATTATATGTAACAAAACTAATAAAAAAACCTGACAACTCTTTCTGTCAGTTTACTTTTAGTGTGTATTTCCAACATTACTTTTCAGCAATATTACAAACTACACATTTTCATTTTCCATTATGCCAGTTTTTCTAACTATCTACTCTTGATCCATATTCAATTTTTGGTTAGTTGCAGTGAGTAACAAGACGATTAAGAGATTTATATAGTGTGGGACTCTCTCATTACGTATACTGATATAAAGATGTCTATAGTGGGTAGCACCGAAAGACTAGGACTAGAATTTTCTTGCAGGTGCTGAGGTACAGGACATCATAGAGTATGTTGACAACTTAGTTGAGGTCAAGGAAAAATTGTCATTTTGTAAGACATGTAGGAGCAAATGATGCTTAAAATTCTATATCAGAAGAACTGCTTAAAAAGTAGAAATATCTCCTTCATGCTTGATAAGTAAATAAATTAATTAGCAGGATCCAAGACTTATATGAAAGGTTATCAGATACATATTTAGAGCAGCAGGTGGGCTGGTTTGACCTGTAAGATAGTTTTCAAGGTAAGGGTGACTTGTATGTTATAGATGGACTCCACGTAAATGGATTAGGTAGTAGGATGTCTGAAAAGGCTTTAAATACATTCATTAAAAATAGTTTAAACTTGCTAACAGTGAGAGAAATTTGGAATACAGAAATTGATAAAATAGGACAAAAATGAGTTTGGTAATAGGATTTAGAGCAAAAGTTAAATAATAGTTTTAAAGATAAGTCTGTCAGATTTCAATTGTTGAATGAGTGTTGTTCCCTAAGACATGAGCAAGAAAAACTTTGACAAAAGATAATAAAGAATAAACTGACACATCTAAATGAGAACTTTTCTAAATTACCTTCTGCTATGTTTTGAGCAGAAGCTTCTCGACAGGAAGTAAAGACAATGTTACAATTGAATTAGGTAAGACAATGCAAGGATTCTAATTACACACATTCAATGTAGAGCACAGTAACAAAAATAATTATAAAAACATTGTTGAACTTATTATATAAATATTATTAAAATTAGCAAAAATATGGAAAAAAAGTAATCAGAAAAACTAAAACTGGATCTAGAAATATAACATAGGAAAATAATAAATATAAGTTCAGAATATTATAAAATAATAGTCTAGTGATGTAAAGTAATAATCCAGAGAAGGAAAAGACTCTTGCACAGCTAAGATTGAAAAGGAAGATTTAACCAGGAGTAAGAGGTAAGGTAAATGCATCTAAAGAAAAGGTTTAAGGAATGAAATTAGAGAAAGGGTAGACAGAGTTTTATAATTATTTGAAAGTAAATCCTTCATTTATACCATAAGGGGATTTGGTGAGAATTGGAAGATAAGACAGTGTTCAAGACTTTCTTGTGTTAATTGTTGAGTGGGGCATTTCTCATGACTGAAACTAATATGTCAGAGGTACCACTGTGGTTAGGAGAACAGAAGTGTTTAGGAACTGGGAGGTCATGGAGCATTCTCTTAGAGTTCTAAGGTGTTCATGAAAACAATCACCAGCCTATGGGCTGTTTCTCCAAGATACAGTTTGTGACAACTGTTATACTGGATGCAGTAAATGATGCATTCTGACATGCAGGTGTAATGTACCCTCACATGGAAAGTGTAATTAGGGCCAGTTGTGGTGGTGGTGGTGTTTGAAATGTATGGACAGGTGTAACAAATCCTTCTGGTACAACAATGAGTTCCAACAACAAGGTCATTGTTGTTCTGTAGCTTCGAGTGCAGCAAGTAGTCTTTGAGCTTTGGATTTTCTTTTCTTTTGCCCATCAAGCACTGGTCCAATTTTTTCTTGCTTGCTCCAGTCTTTTATTATCATTTAATTGCCCTTGGCAATATCTGTCTTGTGATACTCTCCACCTACATCAATGGTCCCTCTATCCTGGTACTGTATGTAAGCCCTGGTTCATATAATATTATCACTTTTTCAAGACCGACTCAATTCGCAGTCTATAACACCAGCTCTTAATGTGGAGGAAGGGCAAGAGTGTGTGACAGGAGGTAAGTATTATTGGAAATGCATTTTCGATTTAAGACAATTTTAATTTCCAAAGCATACCTCTTCTCACACTACAGTTAGAATCCCATGTTAATAAGGTGGATGGGCTGGTGAGGGCATTATCCACACAGAATGCACCTGCATAGATCATTGGCGTACCAATAGAAGATTGGAACCCTAGTGGGAGAACTGCACTACCTACAGAACAGGTATGCTCTTCACCCGGAATATAAATCCGGCACTATAGGAGGACTATAAAATCATCTGTCATCGTTACTGGTCAGAACCCAACCAGGTAATAGAATCCATTGCTCGGGGTTGGAATTATAGGGCCATGGCCCCTAAATCCCATGATGGTGGCCAGGGCATTTGGACTGAAAAAAAAAAAATATATATATATAGATGTGTGTGTGTGTGCCTAAGTGGACAAACCTTCTCAACCTGAAGAAGTCTGAAAGGCAATACTCCAAACCTGTATTACAAGAAGGTTCCCACATGGGCTGGTGCCTCTCCTACAACATCTGGGGGAAAAACTGTCCAAGATTTTGGATAGAAGGGCCCTAACTTCACTCTCTTCTACATACAGAGGTGGGGTGGGGGTAATGTACATTGGAGATTCCCGAGGAACAATGTTCTGGAAACAGTGCAATTGGTGAACCAAGTTCCCTGAAGTTTGAAAAGCAAACCAACCTCTGATTAATTAATCCAATGAATCAGTATGGGACTATGTAGAGACTGAGACAGATGGCAACCTTAGAAGTTAAACCCCAACACCATGCAAAGGACCACATATCCTCCATGCAGGAAGCTTGAGCTTTGGGATGGCTGGGTGTATGATGTCAAATCATGGCTGCCTTAAAAGAGACAGTCAAAAAGGAAGTGGAAGAGGTGGGCACTCCTGAAGGTACTGCAGAAGCAGAAATCAGAGTTGAGCTGGCCAATCTGGTGTTACAAACAGAGCACAACAAGGGGTTGAATAAATCATAGCTAGTACTCTGGGTAACATACAAATTGGTGGGAAGACATAGGGGTGCAATTTCATTCAGTCCTGACTGAATGCATCTATTGCCAATGCCCAAGGATGAGGTACCAGAGACCAAAATGCACGTAGTTGGGTGTTCCAATGAGAGGCAAATGCATCAATCATTGGTGTCCTGAAATATGAGCAAATCCAACAGAAAACCTTGTGATGCAGCATCCATTCTATTGGGAATATCTGGTTGAGACAATTGATCTGCCACCAAATTTATAACCCCCAGAATATGTCAATCTAGTAGGATGATATAATAGGAGTGGGCCCAATAAAGAAGATCCAATGGTCGAAAACAAAGAGACCTGTACCAAGTGCTCTCATGATGGGAAATGTAAGACATCACCATGATCTAACCACTACTCAAGATAGAAAAATGTTGATCCTGAATAAGGAGATTGGGGAATCCAGTGGATCATTGTTCATGATCCATTGGTTGAGTATAGACCACTGAAGAGATCTTGTGCACTCATCCCAAAGCAATGAGGGATTCAAGTGATGCCCACATCCCCAAAAGAGAAAGAACCATCCTTCCAGTAGGAGGAGATGTGGATGGAAGTCAGCTGTTCCTGATTGAGATACATATTGAAAAAGACACTCAGAGAGTTGATATATTGTGTTGAGGTGAGAACAGATTTCTCACTTCTGATAATAAAGCCTGCTTTGGTTGCTTTTGAAAGTAGAATCTGTGGATTTGATGCTCCGCCAACTGATAAGAAGGTGCAAGAAAAAATTAGACCAATGTTTAGATGGACAAAGGAAAAGAAACCCTAGCAGTTGAGTTATAGCTGTAGTGTGAGAGGAGGTAAGTATGTTTTGGAAAAAAAATCAAAAATACCTTCTTATTTTTATAGAATGACTGCAAATTGTAAAAAGCAATTAGAATTATTTATTCTAAATAACCTCAGATTCCTAACAGCACATCTGTTTTCAATTAAATGTACTCTTTTATCACTCTTTGAACCTTACCTAATTAGCCTAACAAAGCAATATATCATATGGCAAAAGCTTACGAGTAAATGAACAATTGAATTATATCACATCGTGTGACAGCAGCCTGCATCCATTCTAAAGCAGAAATTCAACTTTTTTTTTTTCATTTAAATTTTATCTAATCTAACGAGTTTATAATTTTTGCATTTCAATTACTTTTGTTAAAAAAATTATTCACCAAAAATACACATAAAAAATACAAAATTTAGCTGTTACTTTAGCCTTGAAGCATTTTGCATATGGGTGCATGGTTTAGTAAGCTTATTTTTTCACTATGTTGTCTATCCAAAAATAATTCATTTAGCTTTCAGATATGCATTTAAAACACACACAAAAATATATTAGGCATCAAAACAGAATGTCCCAAAAATACTTTAATTTACCTGGTTTTCTAACTACCTATAAAAATGTATAAAAATTCCATTATTTCTCAGGGTAAAGTCTTTAGTATAAACATAAATTCTCCCCATAAAATATTGGTTTTGATCAACAAAACAAAACAGAAACTATCTGATTTATGGTGTTTAGAATATAATCTTCCTATTGATTATAAACATGTCCAACATCAATGCTAGGGAGAATTGAAGCATTTCTTAAAAGACAGGATATGGGAAGTGTGTACCAATGTGGGTTGAACAAACATAACAATATCTTTAGCAAGGCAAAAAGAGGTTGAAATTTTATATTTATAAATGTACTTCTAACTGTTTGAACAATATGATGCCTTTATAAATGTAGAGAAAATATATCTATTAGAGTGTCATTGTGTTGTGCGACTAGAAGATGCAGATTGAAATTAAAACTTAAGTATTGTAAAATTTAATTTTAAACTATACTTTGATGACAATTTTATTAAAATATATTGACAACAAACTTGTTTATTTTAATTTTGAATGAAACTAAAAAAGGTTGTGACATGTACACTTTAATCCTCCCATGTCTGTAGGTCTAATAATGTATAAGCAGGTAAAGATCTAAGAGAAGGGTCAGCCCCCTCCCTCCGTTTTTTTTTACAAAAATAAAAAAAACATCCAAATATCCTTAAACTAAACATAGTATCAAAAAGAAATATCAAATGCAAGTGTTTTTATTTGATTGTTCTATTAGTTACCACACATACTTTTTGAGATTTTCCAATATCAACAGAGCTAGAGACTACAGTAATCAGTCAAAGTATCAGCAAATAATCAATACATTTAAGCTAATTCTACAATATGAATGTCAATTAAACATTGCCATGGTAAACTACTGCAACTTGGCTTTTTCCCAACACTCTAACAATATGTCTAATAGAGATTTGTTTTTATCAAAGTTGATATTGTTTAGGACACCTGACACTCTTCATAACAGACTTGTTACAGAATTAGTTTTTAAAAGTTAGAATTTTCATGAGAAAGATGTTTTTCATATTACTGATGTCCACAATAAGTCAGTGAAAATGCAAGTAGTATGACTGTCCAAGTAATGAATTTGAAAAATAAATTTTGATAACAAGCATCCAGTTTATGAATGAACACTACAAGTTTTTTCTAAGTATGGTTATACATAATTGTAACTAATTAATTTTCATTAAAATATTTGAATTGTTTGTTTTTAATTGCTTTTATTTGCATATGAATTATATTACTAGAAATAAAGATATAAACTTTGAAATTACTGGATTATAACCCAACTGAGCTAATAATTTACAGAATATTTTAATGTTATTTTAACTTGTTGTCAGGAATGTTGTAGTAATTGTTTAGTGAACCCACCAATTAACATATGGCACTAAATGTCCAACTCTACATTAAACTCATAGGAGTTTCTAGCACCGTATTCAGGACATTGATATATTACAAAGTGACTTGTATCAACTTGCAACTTGGAGGATATCTTTAATTATAACAAGTACAAGGTAATGCTTTTGGGTTATCATAATTTTGATCACACACTTAAAATAGTTGGCCATCCATACAATAGCATGATTAAAAAAAATAATAGTAGCACAGATGTGGGTACGTCATTGGAAACATCAAAGTATTGCTCTGATGGTGTTACTAACAGTAAAGCTGATACAACTTTAGAATGTATTTACAACCATACTGATTACAAGTAAAAAAGAACAATTATCTTTTTACACAAACCACTATTTATCTTCACTTTGAATACTGTGTGCAGTTTTGGCCTCCTTATCTAGGAAAGAATATTGACTTATTGAAAGAGGTTCCGAGAATTACTACTAGGATGATGCTAGAGAATAAAAGAGTTATCTTAGAGGGATAGGTTATGATCTCTAAATGTTTTATTCAGAAATTAATGTTAAGAGGCAATCTTATCGAAGTTCATAAAATTATTTGGGGGGATCAATAGCATAAAGGCTTCTGTTATATTCTGAAAATAATAAGACAAGTTAATACAAGATAAAATTTGGAAACTTAAAAGGACAGACTAAGCTACAGTTAAAAAAAAATATTTTTTAACAGGGTGGTTAGCCAGTGTTTACAACTTATTGATTTCGTTGCTATATTCCATGATTTTTGGGTTTCCCTAGGACAAAAGTATTTCAAAGTGACTAGCAATAGATCAAGCAACTTTCATTGCTGACAAACAGTGATACTCAGAGAAAGAAGTAGCCATTTTTATAGTCACAAAACCAGTCACAAGCAACTCAATACTGTTAATACAATCTACTCTTTTTATAACATTCTGTTGTATACCACATTGAAATTATTATGTCTACACAACCTCAATGAAATGCCAAGTGACATGGTGAGAGTTACATGAGCACAGTGTACTTTGTAATTGCTTATAAGCAGTACATTTATATCCAGCCATCTATACCCAAAAAAAGGGAATGGGACTGGGATATGGAGATTGAAGTGTGCCATTAAAAACTCTATGAAAAACACCTGTTAGAATGTGACTTATAGTCTAAAAACATGTCAGTATTTAGTGCACATAATAATTTTATAACATGTTATTTCAAGAGTGTCCTCTAACTGTAACAAAACTTACCATTCTGCATAGATTTAATTTAAAAAATAATTTTTAATTCTCTACTGAATTCTATGGACGTTTCTGACTTGTTTAGAATGCCTAAGTATTGACACCTTGCAACTTTTCAAGGCATATCTGGTGCCTTACTGCTTTGTAAATTGTAGAGGTGGTAACACTGCAGTTGACTATGTTATGGAATGAGCTGCTATCACTATAAGCAACAGGGAGACAAGCATTTGGGGAATTGATGATTTATTGTATTATAAAGGGTGGGTTTAAATGTTTACAGCTTCAATTTTGAAGTTTGAAGAATCAAAGGTACCCTTATTGTCGATATATTAATTGTTAATGTATTTGTCACAAAGTTGTAAAATATGCAAATCTAATACAAACGTTAATTGCTTTAGACTTCAATTCAACTATTAAGATTTAGGTTTTAACCTGTCTAAGTGCGTGAGTGTGAGGAACTGTCTCATCCTATGTCTCTTGAAAGTTGAAATTGTTTGTGTTAAGCCTAACATGCTTTAATCAAAACATACCTTGCAAAGTCTTCAGTTGCTGGAAAACCTAGTAGTTTCGAGAGCTCTGAACAGCACCATTCAATTAATGCTGATGACATTTTGGTTGATATTTAATGATAATAAAATCCTTATTGTTCACCAGTTGTTACTATTCCAAAAATGTATCGTTTTTTATTCACTGAAATTTGGATAGGAGCATTTTTTAAGATCCTACATGATAAATTTAAATCGTAAGCAGGAAGAGTGGTATCTTCACATAATCTTCCTAACTTTAGTAAATTTATACCAATCTATTTAATTACATTTCAATAGTTATAATGATGCAAAATCTAAAGTTCTGCACAATTTTGTTTTTCTGGTCTTTCAAATATGGGAATCCTACTGAATGATACAAAGGTTGTTTTGCTTTCTTCAATATGATTTTTATCGACAAATGTTTAATATATAAAATCATTTATACTCTAAATGATTGCTCATAAAATAATTAAAGGATGATTTTATTCGTATTAATGTGTAATATTCATACTTTTAATTAAAATGTAATTACTTTAGATTATTTTAGTTAAAATAAAACATAATTTGATATTTTGTGGTGTAAATATTTTCTGACAAGCATTATTATATTAAATTTTACAATCTTGGTTTGACCAAAGACAATATATTTTCACTATCTTTCTATATCTATATATTATAGTATTGTTGCGTCAGCGAGATCACGTGACTATTCTCACACCCTCTACTTTCTAGAACTATCCTGTACCTTGGCGAATGCTCTAGCATTTACTAGATATAGGGTAGCCTGGTATATAAAAGAGGGTGACAACGTGACAAAAAGAATGTGTGTGTAGACAGTGAGTAATTGATCTGCAGTCAGAGAGTATTATTGAGCACGTTCGTTGTTATAGCGTTGTTTTAGCGCGATTGTTGAAATTAAGTGTATCGTAAAGTTATATTCGGAAAGAATAAAACAGTTTTATTAAGTAAGGACTTGTGTCGCTAAAGTTTCGTCGGAACGAAGTTACGGAAAGTTAATTAACAAACGGAGACGT